AAAATGGGAGACTGGGAATTTACGATTAAGAAAAGTTGTGAAATCCAGCTAGTGGTGGAGGTTCGGTGGGGTTATTTAATTAAAACACAGTGAGGAGAAAATTAGAAAGAGTCGGGGGCATTTTAGACACTAGAAGGGGCAAACTTCCGGATTACTTGCCAGCAGATGCAGAGTTATCTGCAATTAAACAGAGGGGTAGTTTTCCTTTCCATTTTAAGTAAACAACTCCTCTCAATTATTGTAGGACCTACACTTGAATGAATGCATTTGAATGCAGCTTGTTATTCTAGAGTCATGCAGTAATTTATTATTTTCTGTTAAGAATATGACAAAGCACATGGGGACATAAGGAAAGCCTACAAAATTTTGGTTTGAAATCGTGTAACAGCATTCCGGTTATGTTTCTTTAATAGGTTGTAACTAATTTTCAAAAACACATTTTAATTGATCACATGTAAAATCACATGGATCAACAAAACTCATTATCGAGAAAATTTAATTAAAAGCACGCTAGCAAACACTGTTTACTTTATGCTTGATTTTTCTACAGTGTCCTTCTGAACTAATGGGGTGACCTGTTTTATTCGTTGTCAGTTTCAATGGTTTCCTTACGTTAAAAATCTAAACCAAGTGGTAAAAAGCAGCACCTCCTTCATACAGTAAAAACACATAAAATAATAAAGTTCAAAATGCAGTAATTTAACTTCTTTATAATAAAGTGTGAAAGCGCTAAAATCAGCATTTGCAAGAAAACGAATCGATTGACAAAGAACAATAATCATTGCTATTAGATCTTCTACATAAGTAGCTAACGCACAAACCGACCTTGAACGCCATCTGTCCCAAAGACACCTGCACTTGTTTTGCAAGCCGTAATCTAAAAAACACGAGAAATAATGATGGAAGGAATTAGGCTAATTATGACTTACTTCCGCAGTCTTCACTGGATGTCTGTTTCAATAAACTAATCACAATTCTTAAGCTTCCAATCTTGATATAATGTGACTGTAAAACACTACGAGAAACACCACAAAACACAACTTTTTCACACAAAGCTCGTAGTCCGCGCTGTCTCGTTATCACGCCATCTTCGACTGCAGCTGAGTACCAACTTAGCCAAGCTAACGGCGCAAAATTTAAAACCATGCGATGCCAACATTTGTCAACAACATACGTTATTTTAGGTTAGTGGCCCCAACATCCAAGATCAGGAATACTTATCACAAACCATATTGGGAAATAAATATGTAGTATTTATCAAAACATAGAAAGGATTATTGATAAGAAAATTATTAATATAAAGCCAGGCATATTTTTAACTACATGTACACTCATTGATACAAATTTCTGTACCGAATAACAAAATCTACAACAGAAGTACCAAACGAATCCTATGAAATATATCTTCCTAAGATTAAATTAAGCAGCTGTGTTACAAATAAATCGTACCATGTATGCATAGCTCCAATACTTCTTTATTCTGCTTGAATCATTCCAAACTATCCCCATAACAGCATCAGATATTCAAAATTACGTACCAATATAATTGCGTTTTAGACTAAAAATCAGTAAATATATACATACAAGTACTTCATAAGGCCATTGATACACGGATCATAATCTAAAATCATTATTATAAACACCATCAAATAACGGTTTATAATTATTATTACGAATAATAGTAATAAAATTACCATTTAAATCGACAAAATTTAGCAATTATTATCATTTAATTGCTGTAATTTAATAATCACGTACTGTTTTCTCAAGATACAACTTAATATTATATGAACGCTCAAGTCTCATATTAGGCTATTCGTATACAGATTTTGTACGTATTTATTACTTCTCTCGTGCATGCTGCATATCCTGCCTATCTCAAACTTTTCCCTTCAGATGACATTACGGAATGCTGAATTTGGCGTTGTATTTATTTGGTATGTTTCACATTCACAGCTTGTTCACGAAAATTGCAAGGAATATCTGTTTACATAAAAAAATTATGAGCTAAAGGAGAACAGAATGCCCTGTGGATAGGATTATAATTTAACGAAATGTAAGCGGCAGATACATGGTTGCAGTATTCAAGGAAAAATTGTGGAATTTAATTTCTAAATGCCTGCTCTCGTAATAAAGAGCACCAAATAGAATAAGACATATATATATATATATATATATATATATATATAACAGGTATAATAAAAGAGGTCCCCAGAGAAAATGCCCTCCTTCGTACGTCGTTAATAATCTTCAGATTAAGATCATACGTTAGAACTTCTTATGGCACCTAGAAGGACGTCTCGTTACATAATAAGAAACACATCTCAAGACATGAATATATATGAGGGCAGGAAAAATTCTTAAACACTTTCAAATTGAGAATGATATTTTTAATTAACAGTCACTCTGCTCTTTATGACAACGTCTTAATTTCATCTAACAGATGTTGCAAATTATAAGAATGACCCAAGAGATAAATTTGAAACTGTCTTTTTGTAAAACATTTTTTTTTATAAATATAATGCAATATACCTGAAGTTCTTACGTTCAGCAAAATTAATTTTGAAAACATAAATAATTCTCAGTAAACTGGAAAAAAAAAAGAGTTGACTTTGAGGTTCTCACGTAGGTCACTCTGATTCAGTAGTTACTCCTGCCTTCAGAGGGTTAAATAAAAACATCAGAATGAATTTCTCTTGGAATTTATTGTTTCACAGCTTCAGACTATTAGCTTTCATGGCTATCGATAGACATATACTTCAAGCGCATAGCTTTTGATGTCTTTTCATTATCCGACGTCTGCCGTGTAAGCCTACTTAACGTTCTGAACTGAATGTGTAGTGTATTCTCTAAACTGATGACTGCATACGTAACGGCACGTATTTAAATGCAGGAAAAGTATAATAATATAGATGAAAATGTGAAGCAGTTTTCATCGAAATCCATGGCAAGTTGCGTATAATTCATTTTTAAAATCTGTGGTCTATTTAAAATGATTCTCATAACGAACTCCATGGGGTATAGCCTTTCGTAAAAAGCTTACAGTTTTTAACTTTGTTAATAAATTTAATATGTTTAATTTAACCCTACGATTCATTAATGTGTCCACAGGAATCCGCCGCTGAAACTATCCT